TCTCCAGTTGCTCTATCTCTTCTTTCACCACCTGGAGCATTCTGGGGTTCAATGCATACGGTCTAGAATGAATGGGTGGCTGATCACTCGTGGGTATATCATGAAACAACCTATTTGTAATCCCTGGAACTGAACTAAATGTATCTTGGTACTCCCCCAATAACTCCCTTAGCTCTCTCTTCTTATCTCCAGGCAAGTCAGGGTTAATCTCCACCTGGGAGGAGTCCTCAATCCCCTCTTCCCCCTTAACCTGAATCTGCAATATTAACCCTTCCCTGGAGTAATAGGGCTTTAGCCTGTTCGTGTGCACGACTTGAGGCTTACTCTCCGGTTCCACACCGGTGATGACATAGTTATTCAGCCCCTTCTCTTTCAAGACTTTCCTGGGCCCTTCCCATGCCACTTCAAACTTCCTTGTATAGTCAGTCTTCAGCAACAACACTTCCTGCCCTTCCTTAAATTCCCTATGCCTAGCATGGCGATCATAATTAACCTTCTGCCTTGCCTGCGCCCTTTGCAAGCGGTCCCAAGCTGACTTACGCACCTGTTCCAACTTACCCTGCAGGTTAGTCAAATACTCAGCCACCCCCTTCGCAGAAACTTCCTGTTGCACTCCCTCCCAATCTGCCCTCATAAGCTGCAACATGCTATTGGTCTGTTTTCCAAAAACCAATTCATTGGGCGAAAATCCAGTTGACTCATGCGGAGCATCACGGTAAGCAGCCAAACAAAAAGGGAGGAGCTTATCCCAGCTACCTTTGTTATCATGGATAAGACTCCGCAACATTTTCCCCAACGTCTGCACATAACGTTCTGAAATATTGGCGGATATAGGTGTTCGTTGCACCCCCGCCAATTTGCACATACATTCCACCAACTGACTCATAAAGTTCGTCCCTTGATCTGATATTAACCTCTTAGGCCAGCCATACATAAGGGCAAGTTCTGTTAGCGCATTAGCCACCCTCTCTGCAGTGATGCTACTTAAAGCTACTGCCATAGGATATCTTGACGCTATGTCCACCGCTATCAACACATTTGCTTCCCAGAAGAAGTTCTACTTACGGGACCAAGTATATCCACCGCCCACTCCTGCAGGATCCCATCCTCCAAGGCAGGAATTGGGTGCAACTTCACCCTGGTCTTATCTTGGGGGTACCCATTAAACTGACACGTGTCACACGACTGGCAGTAAGCTTTTACACCTTTTGCCATATCTGGCCAATAAAACTCCCTTTGCACTTTCGCAAGAGTTTTCTTAAACCCTAAATGTCCCGCCAATGGAGCATCATGGGCCACCAACAAGATGTTCCCTGAACCTCCTAGGGACTACCAGCTGCCTTAAAGAGTCCCAACCTACATCATGACCCTTTTCCACATGTTCCCTATAAAGCAGCCCTTTCTCCCACAAGAATATTACCAGGTTATTTTCAGAGATAACTTCCCCTTAGTCTGCCTTTTCCCGGCAGGCTTGTAAAGTTTCACATTGCAGTACTGCCTCTCTAAACTCCCATTTATCCCAAAGTTCCGTTTCACCTCTCCCTTCCATTTCTACCCAGGGGTTGTTTTGATCCCCTTTCTGGCCTCTTGTCTTGCGAGCCTTAGACCTAGTAGTTACCATCCTCATAGAAGCCTCTTACTCCAAATCAGCCCCGATGATGAATTGAACATCTTCACCTTTATGAACCAAGCAAAACAGAGTTCCGTCCCACCCCTGATGCCCAACACACACCTTTACCAATTTCTTAACCCTTGGCTTGGCCTCATATGGCACGATTTCAATGTACCCAACCAATTAATGGGGAATCTTCTTTAACCAATCCTCATGTAAGGAGCTGACATCAGCCCCTGAATCTGCCAGGGCTCTTATCTTATATCGCCCATCCAAGGTTACCTCCCCACAGCGATGTTCCCTAACCCACTCCCTCTGTTCTCTTGAGGAGATATCCTTATATGTTAACAATGGTCTTCTTCTGCCTACCTCCTTTTTTACATCGGATCGGCTTCTCCCCTCCCCTGGCCACGGCGCGTGACAGCCCACTCTCTTAATGGGGAAACACGGGGCGTCGTCCGAGCTGGAAGAGCTGTATCCTTCACCCCAGCTGGAAGACCCACTATCATCTGTGTGCAAAACAACCCTCTGCTGCACCAGCTTATCGTCCTGCGGCAACTTGCACTCTCTTTTCATGTGGCCCTCTTCGCCACACCGGTAGCACGTCAGCTTAGATACAGCTGGCTTAGCGAAACCCAGTCTTTGGGGCTTGGATGCACCACTCTCCTTGCGCTCTTTCTCCTTTCTCTTTCTTCTTCCATCTTCGTCTTGCTTGTAGTACAAGCTACTTCTAGGTTGCCAACTTTTCACTGTCTCTCCCACCCTTCTCCGTTCATACTGAGGTTCCTGGGCTTTCCGCTTGTCCAACCGGTCAGCAAACTCAGCAATCTCCGAGGCATCTTCCACATTCCTAGCGTGTACCAGTTTCATCACTTCCTCAGGTAAATATGAAAGAAACTTTTCCTTCAACATGAGGTGTCTTGCCTCATCCACAGAGCGGACTTCAGCCTTGCTAAATAACAGTCTTAGCAGCCTATCCAGTCTGTTCACAAACTCCACCCAAGACTCACCGGGTCTCCTCTCTTCTGCCTTCCATTCCCTCCTCACCTGGTCCTCTGTCTTTCCAAACATTCTCAATGCCAGTTTCTTGAAGGCTGGAAAATCACAAGCCTGCTCAATCGGTACTTCAGAAAGTAATTGCAACAGCTTTCCTGCTGCCACACTTCGCAGCTGTTTCATCTTCTCCCAATCTGGTATATCATAATCAAGACACAGGACTTCAAATACCCTGAAGTACATGTTAATATCTTGATCATCTTGATACACAGGGAACTTGGGTTTCTGAGTGACTCCCATTTCCGGATTTAACACTCTACCTCTCCCAGTTATCGACCATCTTTCCACTCCCGTCTTCCTCCTAGTCTTTATCTCTATCCTCCCTGGGGCCCATACCCCCCGTGGGTTTCTTCTTTTCCTCCATCGTAAGGGGTTTATTCTGCCTTACCGGCTTCTCACTGACCACGATATTCTCCATTTGCTTCTCCAACTCCATCTCAGCGTCTGTTTCCTCCCTTTGCGGAAGCTGCGTTAACAACAACTCCTGCTTCTTGTCCTTTTTGCGTGCCATTCTTCTTGCACAAACCAGGTTTATTCTGCACAGCTAGCCACCATGTGACAACCACCCTCAGGGCTGGTATATCTCTCTGGGTTCTTTCCATTGCTGGTTATGTGCAATGACAAACAACTCAAGAAGCAATTGAATAACTTTCCGACTGAAG